TCAGCACAGAGCTGCTTCTCTCTTTCTTTAAATCAAATCACCACAATTCCAGCTCAAAAAACACAACCAGTTCATTCACAGGCTCTGAACCTCCCTGCCACTCAGCCCAGACCACCAAATCTCTCACAGCAGTGGCAGGTGGAGCCTAAATCCCTCCCCATTCCCTGTGCTGCATTTCCTCGGCTCTCCAGCCTCAGAGAGAGGTGCTGGGGGTGCAGTCCATGCTGACTGGTTGGGTTTATTCCCTCAGGATATCCACAAAGCTCCCAGCTGCAGACAGGTTACACAGTCCAACCCACAGAAATTCTGCTCTTTTCCCAAAGAAACACCTGTGAGATCAAGAACATGAGTGACCTCCCCGCCTGAGGTTTGCCATGCCCTGCACTTGGAGATAGTATTCAAAACATCCATTTTTATTTGCTTTTTTAAATCTTTCCACATCTGTTTTGATCTTTTTCGTTCTGCTGCCTCACATTCTGCTCTATTCTGTTGTACTCCATTCTAAGCAGGACTATTCCATGAAAATGCTGATTTCCCACTGCTTGTGATTCAGCACAAGCTGCCAGATTTTCAAGAAATCTTGGGAGACTTTGTGCAACTGAAAATATTGACAGTCTAAAGCAGCTTCATGTCCATCCAGCTGAGCAGCCAACCTGTGATCCCCAGCAGGTAGATAGGAAATAAAATGGCCCATGTGAAGATCTTAATCCTAATCCTGAGAGTTTCAAATAGATTTAAGCCTTAGAGCAAGCAGTTTTATATCCAGTCCAAAATGCTCTTAACACCATAACCTCTTGTGGAAACGAGTTCCACACTTTAATACTCCAAGGAAACAGCTCACCTGACTAAGCCCAGGTTTTTCTGGGCTGGCTCATTGTCAATCTTCATATCAGTGTGGATCTCACCAGCAGAGCATGACAGGGAGTCACCCATCCCACAAATGGGTATTTGGGTTTGGGCAGATGGATTTGCTCCCTGATAGATCCCATTTCTCCTCCCTGTCTCCCAGAGAAGTCTGGAAGAGCCATTTTGGGAGCAGGTGGCTGTGTTGTGGGTCTGTCTCATTGATGAGGCTGACTTCTGTTTCACTGTGCAGACGAAAATGTCATTTCATCAATTCTGGATTTGCCACCTCTCAGTTTAATTGAAAAATCTACTGTTGCCTGTGTCAGGAGCAAGAGAGGACTTATCTGTATCTGTCTGTTTTACAGACAGTTAAAACACCTTTGGTTATTCTTCTGCTCACCCAAGGAGTCGTCTTTAATCCACTCCAGCCTCTTTCAGGGAGAGTTTGGTCACATTTGTGTAGCCCTGGACCCAGAGACTTTTAAAAATCCTTTTACAGCAACAGCCACAAGACCAAGGCCCTCTCAAACATCTGCCCCTATTTTGGGTCTCTAGACAGGAGCTGTGCCCTGGAAATCTGGCTCTGGATCTGTATCCAACTCCCAGCACCCTCTTGGACTATTGGTGTTTTTAAATTCCATGAGTTCCTTCAAATCCTGGGATAACAGACCATCCTGGGTTGGGAAGGACCCACCAGGATCATCCAGTCCAACTCCTGGCCCTGCCCAGAATTCCAGTGAAGGACCAGCTCCTGGCTTTAACTAGAGAACATCTTTATATTCCAGGTGTTTCCTCTTCTCCCCTTGGCTTTGCTGGGACCCTCCCATGTGTGGCTGCAGCTGCTGGGTCTCCCTGGGGGTCTCTGGGGTGCTCACTCAAGGCATCAGGGAAAGCCCTGCTGGGTCCTCTGCTCCTGCAGGGCTCCCACACCTGGCTCCAAACAAAACCAGGGACATGGTGCTGGAGCAGCAGCTCCTCTCCCACTCCTTAGTGAATGGCAACAGCTGTTTAAGCAAAAAGGTGAATTCTTTTCCATTAAAATACAAAAGTGTGCCTTTAAAATCCAGTGGCTGCACCAGCAACACCCTCCTACACTTTATTTGCAGTCCCCTGCCTTTGTCACTTGTCACGGGCAAGTGAAGCCAGTAGAGAGCTGAGCTTTTCTTCCAGTTTCTCCTTATTCCATTTGCCAAGCATTGATTTTCTTTTCCTTCTACCAGCAGAGCTTGAAATTAATAATTTCTATTTGATTTTGTCACTTGGGTGTCATCAATACTGGCAGGGCTGGACACGGGAGAAGCCAAATGTTCAGGGAGATGGAAGTGAGTGAGGGGAGCAGACAGCCTGGGATCAATGAGCAGGTCATGGAGCACATCAGGGAGAGTTCCTGGGGCCAGGCTGGACATTCCCTGGCTGCCTGGGAGGGATTTGCTGGAATTGCAGCTCTGTGGCAGGTCCCGACCTCCACATGGCAATGGGAACATCTGCAGGGATAGATTCCCTCTATGCCAATGATATGGAGGAATAGCTCCATTCACATCCCTAAACTGGATCTTGGCAAACCTGACAAGGGAAGCAGGGAAAGGGGAACAGGGATTTGCACTGAGATCTCCTTTTCCTGCTCTGCACTGCTGGGTGAAGGCTCTGGCAGCTGCTGGAAGCTGCTGGAGGGAACAGCAGCCTGGCTGTGGCACCAGCTTCTGTGAGCATCCATGGAAAAGTCTTTCCAATCAGATCTTATGGATATTCTGCCATCCATGAGCAAAATGGTATTCCCATATTTATAATGGGAACATTATATTAGCATTCAGTGAGGCTCCACACTTTGTTCTGGACCAAAGTGAGAAGACGATGGGAAAGATGGGAAGAAAAATGGAGACTGGACTGAATGAGAGCTAGAATGTGAAGGAGAATTTCTGACTGTGCCCAGCTCCTGCTCCCCTTGGCCTCCACAAACCTCAGCTCTGCATTGGAGGATCTTTAAGGTCCCTTCCAACACAAACCATTGGACAGTTCCATGATTTGCATTTTTTTTTAGGACAGGGAGGTCACGGACCATCCTTCAGTTGGGATCTCAGCTCCTCCCTAGGGGCAGCTCCGATCTCAGCCCTGGGACAGGGCCAGCAGCCAGGGAAGGGCTGGAGCTGGGCCAGGGCAGGCTCAGGCTGCAGAGCAGGGCAAGGTTCTTCCCCCAGAGGTGCTGGCACTGCCCAGGCTCCCCAGGGAATGGGCACGGCCCCGAGGCTGCCAGAGCTCCAGGAGCGTTTGGACAGTGCTGCCAGGGATGCCCAGGGTGGGGTTGTTGGGGGGTCTGGGCAGGGCAGGGGTGGGACTGGATGATCCTGTGGGTTCCTTCCCACACAGGAGATTTTATGATTCTCCGATGTGTCCCAGCTGGAGGCTCAGAAGATGGAAATGCTTTCTGTAATTGTCTGGAAATTATTTTCTATCCCCATAAAATCCAGTGGAGCCAAATCAGAGGCATTTCAGCTCCATCTGCTCTTCCCTGCTCCTGACCCACACCAGTGGCACATCCCAGCCTCCTGTGCCACCTCCAGCCCTCCCTGCCTGAGCACACTCCCAGTCCTGGAGCTCAGGTGGAATGAGCCAACATTTAATGCAGGAAAAGGCTCCCTGTGGGGCCCGTTTGTGTCAGGAATTAACGAGTCACATCTGAGTGGGCAGCAGAGCAGCAAAGGTGCCAGAACTGCATGCCCTGCTCACAGCAGCTCCTGTCAGAGCCCTGCAGGTGCCCATAAACCACTTAAGTGGCCATTAAGGGTTCAGGGAGCAACAGAAACTGGCACTGGAGCACTCGGCCCTTTGGCTTCGGGCATTTATCCAACACCAGATGAGCAGGCAGGAATTAGAGCTGGGAATCACAAGCACCACTGAGCCTCTGCCCTGCCCTGCTGGAGAGCTGGGGGATCACAGCAGCTGCACTGGGATGGCATTTGCTGTTGCCACAGCCATGGAAATCAGGGCTAACTGGACTCCCCACACCCACAGCTACCAGCTCTGAGGGTTTAGCTCCATATCCCAGCGCTGGGACCTCTGGAAGAGCTGAATTCTTTGGTGTTTTGCCATCAGACATGGTCACACACACAGGGCAAGGCTTGGGGACACACAGGATTTGGCTGCTGTGGCCTGATAAAGCATTTGTTGTGTACTGAGGGGGAGAGCATAAGTGGGGGCCCCACTGAATCCCACACAATCACAGAATTATCCAGCCTGGAGAGGCCTCCAAGATCACCTTGACCTCCAATCAGCCCAGCACTACCATAATCCTCCCTAAACCACATCCCTAAAGGCCACATCCAGATGTTTCTTCAACACTTGCAGGGACGGTGACCCCACCATCTCCTTGAACAACTCATTCCAAAGCCTGAGCTCTCTGTCAGGGAAATATTTTTTCCCAATAGCCGACCTGAGCCTCCCCTGGCTCAGCCTGAGGCCGCTCCCTCTCCTCCTGTCCCTGTTCCCTGGGAGCAGAGCCCGACCCTCCCCAGCTGTCCCCTCCTGGCAGGGAGTTGTGCAGAGCCACAAGGGCCCCCTGAGCCTCCTTTTCTCCAGGCTGAGCCCCTTTCCCAGCTCCCTCAGCCGCTCCTGGGGCTCCAGCCCCTTCCCCAGCTCCGTTCCCTGCCCTGGACACGCTGCAGCCCCTCCAGGTCTCTCTTGTCAGGAGGGTCCCAGAGCTGCCCCAGCACTGGAGGTGCCCCAGCAGGGCCAGCACAGGGGACGGGCCCTGCCCTGCTCCTGCTGCCCCCCAGGGCTGGGACAGCCCCGCTGCCCTTGGCCACACCTGGGCTGGTGTCCAGCCCCTGGCACCGGCTCCCCCAAGTCCCTCTCTGCTGAGCAGCTCTCAAGCCACTCTTTCCCAAGCCTGCAGAATTCCACAGGTTCGCTGGAGCTTTTCCTAAATCAGTCTTCCCAAGGAAAGGGGGATGAGAAGATCCAAAGCTGCTCCATCCTGAGCAGAGTCATCCCTGGCTGCTGTCACCAGGACATCACCATTGGCATAATTTTCTCCATACCTCCCCACATCAATTCTCTCCACCCAGCTAGGAAGATAAAGGAGATCAAAGTTCTAAAAAGGACCCAGCTGTGCCCTCCTCCACATCTGGGCAGCGTTGCTCCACCCCCACCTGCAGGAACAGCTACTCCACCTCCCTTCCAGTGGCATTCCCAAACAGGGATGAAAGGAAAGGAGCAGTGTGGGGACCCCCTGCCTTCCACCCTTGTGCCTTTGTCACCACCCCCAGTTTGCCTGCACAGCTCCAGCCAAAATGAGTCACATTTGCCTACTAATTCCTTAAAAGTAATGGGATTTATCCCAGTGGATCACCTGCATTCCAGTCACCACCCTTACCCACTTTCGGTAAGGTTATATGTGTATGTATATATATATATATATATATATGTGTGTGTGTGTGTGTATATATATATATATATATATATATATATATATGTGTGTGTATAAGATTAGTTGGATCTTGAAGCTTTGTTTTCCCTTCTTCTGACTTCAGTTTATTTTTCAAACAGTTCCAGCCTTTGTTGTCTGAGTCCACATCACCTGGGAGGTGCCCCAGGAGTACCTGCACAGGAGAAAGACGAGGCTGGATTAAAAGGAGACCTTGGAGGACTGAATGTGTTAAAAACCAGTTTTAAAGCTTGAGCTGGCTGGGTTAAATCTCTGAGGCTTTTCCTTATGTTAAAACAGCAACAATTATAAAGAAAGGAGTTGGATTGCAGATACAGAAATCAGTTTTAATAAGAGGAACCCTTTATTCAGGGGGATTTTAATTTGTGTTTTGGGTTGGTGTGGCCAGGTTTTGGGAGCAGGGAGGTCATAGGGGTGGCTGCCAGAAACCTCTCCTGAGACCAAAGGAGCCAATTCCAGCAGCTCCAGGATGGACCCAGCTGGCCAAGGCCCAGCCCAGCAGGGATGGAATTGTTCTCCTAAATAATAGGGAATGCCAGGGGTGAGGCAGGAACTGAAGGGGCTGCTCAGAGCAGGGACAAGACCCTCTCCACCCCAGAGAAAAAGTAACAATGTGCCAGGTACCCCTGGCAGGGGTGGGAGGGTGACAAACACGAGCCAAGGCATGAGGGGGATGCGTGTGTGTGACAGGAGGGTCTGGAACTGAGGGGTGAGGCTGAAGGACTGGGACAAGCACTGGGAGAAGCCTGGGAAGTGCATGGATGGGGTGGGAGCTCCTCTCCTCGAGCACATCTCCTACATCCCAGAGAAGACAAATGGGATCTGCTTGTGGTTATTGTATAAATTTACAGCACCCTGACACGGGGCAGAGCAAACAGCAGCGGTGGCAGCCTCTGATAGAGACAGATGACAGAGACATTTAATGAATGAAAAGGTGATGAAGTATTCCTGACACAGCAAACCCCCCCAGCCTGCACTGATCTGTGTGACACCACTGGCACAGAGACTGCAGCACATCCATCCCAGCCCCGTCCGAGGCAGGAAGGGCACTGGACTGGGCTGCAGACCATCCACAGGATCACAGAATCATTGGCTTGGAAGGTGCCTGAAAGCTCCTCTCATTCCACACCCCACCACAGACAGGGAAACCTCCCTCTAGGCCAGGTTTGTTCACCTCAGGCACTGAGATTTTATGGTGGGATGTTGAAATTTTTGGTTGTTTGAATGATAGAGAGACAAAGCTGAAATTTCTGGGGGGGAAACACCTGATTTTTCTGATCCATCCTCGATTTTGAGTGTTCAGCTCAGTGCAGTGCTGCAATGAGACCCTGGAAAAAGCAGCAAAACAAAGTAACAGGTTCATACCTTGGCTAAGTCTGGGGATTTAGGAGTTGAGTGGATATGCCTGGACTTAAGAGTTAAAAACGAACCATGTTTGGTGCTCATATAAGGTTGCTGTGGGCTCAACACCTCAAAATAAGGCTCAACACCTCAAAACCAGGCTCAAAGAGAGGTGGAAGCCCAGCAAGGGCTGACTTTCACTACAATCATGCTCCAGATCCAGCATAAACCTGGGCTTACAGCCTGATTATTTGGGCCTGCAGAGATTTGGTGACAGGACAGGGTCACACAGAAATTAAAGATTGAATCTAGGCCATGATAGGCTTAGAGGAGATGATCTTCAAGGCCTTTTCCAGCCTAATTGATTCTGTGATTCCATGGCAGTGCACATGTTTGCACAGCCCTTTGCTGGGGCAGTTTCAGAGCTGGGGCTGGAGGGCAGCTGTGTTAAGCTTGGTTTGAGCCTGGGTTAAGCCTGGGTTAAGCCTGGCTCTGTGTGAGTTTGGGGGGCTCTGCTGCAGGCTGGAGCTGCCAGGCCTGAGCTGTGCTGATCACAGAGGCACTTCAGGTGCCAGACTGGGCAGGTGAAGTTTTGTTGTGAATTAAACCCTGTCTTAAACCCCATCCAGGCCTTGGCTGCCACAAATCCTCCTCCCATCCCCTCATGGGGTCACTGCCCCCCAAAAAGGCAGCTGGGCTGGTTCCAAATGGGCCTCACTAATTCAGGGAGTTTATTTCATGTCTTGGATCTCATTCACAGCCTGATCCACACACAGCTGAGGGATAATTGGGTATTTGGAGCACTGGAAAGGGGAGGGAGGGACGAGCATTTGGGACAAACTTGTTGCTGTCACTGCTGCCACAGTTTGTGTATCCTGAAGCTTGCTCTGGATTTCACACAGAGCCTGTTGTTTCAGCCCTTTTCCCTGTATGGGAGGGAGGCTCTGAAGAATTTCCAGCTCCCATTTTTAGTGGCTGCACGTCAGCCTTCCTCCTGCTGCTGCTGCCAGCTGAGGAGAGCGCTGATAAGAGCTCCCTGCACGCTGGTGGGAGCTGCTCTGCACAGGGCTCATCCCAGGCACCATCTGCAGCAGCTCCCCCAGGATTTCCAGCCTGTGCCCATGGACACAGCTGGCACATCCCCTGCAGACAGCTGGAATTCAAACACTGCTGTTTGCTGCTCCAGAGCGGGAAGGAAACCCCAGCCAAAACCAGCCTTCCCCTCTGTCTGTCCCCTCCCCACAGCCAGCACCACAGATAACCCAGCACCTGCCCCAGAAGCACAGGGGGGCTGTGCTGGGAGCAGACCTCTGTCAGCAGGGAAGGGGAAGCCATTCCCCCCTCATTCCCTCCCCACAGGGAGGCTGAGGCACCTCCTCGTTTCCCTCCAAAGCAGCAACAGCAGCCCAGAGCTCTGGGGACAGGGCAGGGCCTGTCCTGCAGCTGCTGGGGGCTGCCTTGCCCAGTGCCTCTGATTGTGCTTCTGCTGGGAATTGGATGTGCTGCTGGCACTCTGGGACACCTTCAGGAGCCTGCCCTTACTGGGACCAGCCCCAGTGCTCCTGTCCCAGGGGGAACTGGAGCCTTCAGAGAGGCAAATCCACCTCCACTGTAAGGCCATTCAAACACCCCCCATTATCAGATCCATGGGTGGTGCCTGCAGAGTGTTCTCCAGGGGCCAGGAAGCACCAGAACTGGGGGATGTGGGGGGGATTCCCTTGCTGAGGGCAGAGGGAATCGCAAAGGGCTCTGATTTACTATGGAGGGCAAAGGTCCTGAGCTGCTCCTGCCCTTTTGTTTCCTCCTGCTCCTGGTTTTGTCCATTGGACCCGACCAGAGCAGTTTTATGGAGCTGGGAGCATTGTCAGCTGGGCTGGGAGGGCTGGGAGTGTTCAGCCTTGAGATGGGAAGGCTCCAGGGACACCTCCCTGTGGCCAGGTTGAGTGGGGCTTTGAGCTGGATAAGGGAAAGGGTCCCTGCCCATGGGACAGGTTTGGAACCAGATGAGTTTTAAGGTCTCTAACAACCCAAACCATTGGGACTTAGGAGCCTGTGGCCTTCCAGTACTTAATAGGGGCTAATGAAAATCAGGAAGAGCAATTTTTCCATGGTCAGAGAGTGATAGGAAAATGGGAATTGTTTTAAACTAGAAGAGATTTAAATGAGATGTTAAGAGGAGGGTTCCCTGGCAGGGTGGGCAGGCCCTGGCACAGGGTGCCCAGAGCAGCTGGGGCTGCCCCTGGATCCCTGGCAGTGCCCAAGGCCAGGCTGGACATTGGGGCTTGGAGCAGCCTGGGACAGTGGAAACTGTCCCTGCCCATGGGGTGGAATGGGATGAACTTCTAGGACCTTTCCCACTGCTGCTATTTTAGGAATCCCCGAGCCTCACTCACCCCACAGCCACTGTGGCACCACATGAAGCACAGATATCTACAGAGGAGCTGCAGGGGAAACCAAAATCCTCCTTTGTGATGCCATTTCTGTGGGCCAGGCCCTCAGACCCACCTGCACATTCCCCACAAAGCCCGTGACAGTCCCAGAGCCCCCAGCCAGCCCCTGTGACAGACAAGACAGCTCAGCAGCTGCTCCTTCTCCACTGCTGTGCCCGTGGCCCCTCCCGATCCAGCTCACAGGACACAGATTGTTCCCAGCCCTGTGATTTATTCAGCTGCTTGATTTAGGCTCTGGCAGGGCCGTGCTGTCCCTGCTCAGGCTGAACACTCAATAAAACCTGTCCATAAACACAGAGGCCAGAGGGGAACATGCCCTGACAATGGGAATAAACAAAACCAGGGAAGCTCTGGGTGCAGGAGACAGACAGAGGCAGAAACATGGCTCTGTCAGGGCAGGGGAGCCCTGCAGAGTCGGGATCTGCTCAGGGTTTTTATTAATGGCACAAGTGATAGGCTGAAGAGGTGCTTAAAATCTCCAAACTGAGCTGGAAGGAGCTCAGAGAGCAGGGCTGGGATTCAAATCTGACCTCCCTAAATAAAGATTAACGTTGCAAAATGAGCAAGAGAAAATTCAAAAAGATAAATGGGGAGCGATGAGATCAGGGTAGAGAAAACTCCAGTGAAAAATCAAAGGAAGAATAAGTGAGGAGGCTGGGCAGGTCTGAGCCAGGTGTGTGATTCCCTACGGGAATATCCTCTGTCCCTGCAAGAATTAAACCCCAGGTTCAAGACTTGCAACTGGAAAATGTCATTCCAGCCTCTGGGACAGGGCCAGCAGCCAGGGAAGGGCTGGAGCTGGGCCAGGGCAGGCTCAGGCTGCAGAGCAGGGCAAGGTTCTTCCCCCAGAGGTGCTGGCACTGCCCAGGCTCCCCAGGGAATGGGCACGGCCCCGAGGCTGCCAGAGCTCCAGGAGCGTTTGGACAGCGCTGCCAGGGATGCCCAGGGTGGGATGTTGGGGGGTCTGGGCAGGGACAGGGGTGGGACTGGATGATCCTGTGGGTCCCTCCAGCCCAGGATATTCCAGGATTCTGTGATCCCCTGTTGGTGGGGAGCTCAGGCTGTGGTGACCCATCAGGTATCCAAAGGAATGAGGATTTTCCCATTGGATGTTTTCCCATCTGAACAAGCCCAGAAGTCCAGGGAGGGTAAACTGAGCATCCCTTCCCTGCATCCCAACATCCTCTGAGCCAGGAACAGATCCTGAGCTGCAGGAGTGGGGGGAGGGGAGGAAATCACAATGGAATGTGCTGGAAAACTGTTGCTCCTCTGCTGCACTTCTCCTGGTGCTCTGGGCAGGGGGTGCCTCACTGATCCCACTTCCCCCCAGGGTCACCCTGGAAGGTGCAGGAGGCTTTGAGAAGACATCAGAGCCCTGTGGGTCAGGCCCAGAGCATTCCCTGCTTCAGGGTGATCCCCACAGACTGATCTTCCTGGTGCTCA